ACCAACTGCCATTAAAGTCATTTGGGTAGAGATTGGAAAAAAGAGTGACACAAATAATAATATCTTTCCCTGCTGCAGCATAATACAATTTACAAATTGTGGTAGAGTTTCGTGAGTTTTGCATGCAAGCCTTGATCTTGTCTGTAGTCTGCTCTGAGACTTCTTTTGAATGAAACCAGTCGAAGGCGTATCCCTAATTCAACTACTTAAACTACTATGTTTATCACATAAGTTCCTTTCTTTCAGCTATGATTTATATCAAAATTACAACAGAGATTCTTCTTAAAGTACTTCTCCATCTTTATACCCAAACAAATATTGTTCTCTACATCAATTACCCCCATTAATCGACCTTAATCTATCCATATTCATAGAAATGAAAGCGCCACGCAACAATCGCTTGAAATGCAGCTTCCAGCACTCGAACAACACGGCAGCGATCCTCTAATAACACACAGATGGATGGTAATTATTATAGATTACCATTATGCATGGACCATATATCATTCGTCCATTGTTGATTGAAGCGATCCGTAAACAGAGCGCACTGTGCCGGACCATTCAGGACCCATGTCCGCCATATATGTGATATCTGTGATTTATGCCCAGTGCCAGGGCGGGGCCATTGACGACTCTATTTTTTCCCAGGTAGATCGCCGAGATGCGAGAAGTTGACCAAAGCTGTTTACACCAAAATGTATGTCACAAAATCAATTGTCCGACACAAAGCAATAAAAGCAGGCGCAGGGGTCAGTGGAGCGACTTCTTGCCCGATAATCCTGTGTCCTGAGAAGCCAGCGAGCGTTTGCCTAATTTTCCGATTCGCTGAACGCGGCCCCTGAACGTGGCGCGGCATGACCCGGCAAACGTATTCATATTGTAATGAAGAGGTCAGTCCAGTGTCCCGTGGACTGTGCTTGTGTTTGTGTTTGTTTTGGTGACAGTTAAAGGATTACAGCGAGCGGGACATGGGCGCGAACTTTGCGGTCGATCGGCAGCAGCTGCCGGCGCATCCTGCTCCTGTGCGCAGCATTCGTTACGTTTTTTTGAGCATTAATGGATGCGACAATGCCGTTTTGTTTGGCACTCCTTTTTACTTGCAGGATCACAGTCAGGATGCGGTTGGTATTGATAATGATTGCGGACACCGTTTATGCCCAGTCACATCCTGCGCATCGCATATCCTGCCGCCAGCCGCTTTGATAAATGAACGAATGGTGAGGTGACATCATCCCACACAGAAGTTTCCCACAATTTAGATCTTGCAACCATTAAAGGCTGCTCCAGAACTGGTTTCCCACAATGTTTCATTTGCGACTGAAGATGTTGCTCCAGCATATGCCAAAGTTCTTGCAGGACTTTCAGGCTGGTCGACCAGCCCCTTGGCGTTTTGTTTGACACAAGGGTTGGGTCAGGGCATAATATGTAAATTCCTTAAATGGGAAAAGAACATTTGATACGTGGTGCCCACTGAGGTGTGCGTAAATAACTTACATGCAATAAAAATCCGCTACGGGACACTAGATGAGCCGCGGGTCTGCAGCCTTGATGGACAGCCACAGCCCGAGCCCGAGCTGCGTTGAGGCTGTGGCTGTGGCTGAAGCTGTGGCTGCTGTCAGATACGGATACTTTCTGTTTTCTTAATTAATTTCCGTGTTTTTCTTTGCCAGCGAAGGCAGCAAAAGGGCCAGCTTCCTCCTCTCTCTCTCTCCTCTCTCTCTCCTCTCTCTTGCTCTTGATTAGCCCAACGCCAAGGAAGGGGTCGCCGTCGGGTCACAGGGTCAACATCGCTGCTGCATGGGATGCTGGGCAAAAGGGTTGCCCCGTTGCCCGGTTGCCCTAATCCAATTACCAATTGACCGCGTAGTCGCGCGTAATGCTGCCTGCCCTTGGGCGATGATGATGCCGCTTCTGCTGCTCCTGCTGCTGCTCCTCCTCCTGGTGGACAGCCCATTAGTGTTGCTACAGTTAGTTGCACAATCAATTCATGCCGCATGCCCTGTACTCAGTTGTACTCTTGAAGGAGACATTCTGCTCCGTGGCAGACAGCTGTCCTTTGGGAGATTTTTCCAGAGAGACTTTTCCATTGTTCGGGACAGGCCAGGCGCTTCCTCCGCTTCCTCCGCTTCCTCCGCTTCCTCCGCTTCCTCCGCTTCCTCCGCTTCCTCAATGTGCAGTTATTGCGCCTACTCCTGCTGCAGCATCGTTTTTTTTTTTGCTTTTCTTAGACGTCGAACGACCTTCTCTTTTTTCCTTTCCTTTTTTGTTGTTGTTTTTTTTTTGCAGTGCAGTGTGTGGCATGCGTCGCGTTCTTTGTTGTGCCAATCGATGATGCAGCAAGCAGCTGTCGCAGCGTACCGTCCCGTTCCCGTTCCGGCAGGCTGTGTGCCACATCTATTGTTCGTTTGATTGCCCAAAATGCTGCAAAATGTGCCAATTACACAGATTTCATTATATACTGTACCAGCGCGCGAACTAAAACTAGATCAGATCTCAGCTCGAAGTACTCCAACATTAAAGGGAAGACTCCACGGAGTGCAAGGAGTAGACACTGTTCACAATTTAAAGTTAATTCCTATTGTTGCACTTTTCCATTGTGTTGCATAATTGTTACTTATATTGGAGACGTATTGTTCTGCTCATTGGATCAAGCAGTCTGCATTAGCTGCTGTAAGCCAGAACTGCCATTTAGCTGAAACTTCTTTAAGTTCTTTCTTTTTAAACTGGCCCGAGCTGCCGGGCTTCGTCATTTCTCTTCCCCTTGTGCCTGTTTTTGTTTATGGCTGAAGCTCAAACTTTACCAACAAGTGCCAATTATAATGCTCTTTGTGTTGTCAAAAGACTTACCTGATTTTCCAGCTGCCAGCGCTGACTGCGCACCACCCACCAATATGAAAGGAAAGAGCTTTGCCCCTCGGAAAAAGGGGAAAATTGCCATTAATTTATGTTCATTTTCATTCCATTGTGTGCTCATAAACAGTTCATTAGGAGGCAACCAGTTATACATGCATTATTGTAAGTGAAATTCAAAACGCTTTCAAAACCTTTCCTTTCTCCGGCACAGAAAAATATTTCACCCAAACGGGACACTTGAAAATTACGCTTAATTGGTAAAGAAACAATGCCAAGGGCATTGAATTGGATAAATGATAAGGAAAACTCCCTAATTACAAACAAGATTTTTCCAACAAACGTTAAATGGCCGTGGAAAAGGAGGGTGGAGGGCTGAAGGGTTGAAGACGAAGGCGCGCCTGGGAACGAATGCTTTTCCACACACAGGTCGCATCGCATCGCTGAAGTTTCTTTGGATAAGTGTTCGAAAAGTGTTTGGTTTGTCGATCGGATCGCGGGGTCCCCAGAGATACTTGTACTGTGTGGTGTGGCGGGTCCTTGTGCCCTGTGTTCCACGCAATCGATTCTTTCATAAATATTTGACAAGGCATTTTCACTTAAGCCCAAAACGCATGGAAATCCATTGTGTGCAAACAGTAGGTCTCAAAGCAACCCTAAGCGGAAAATTTATTTAAACAACTGTGCAAATATCAACTGTAAAAAAGTATAGAAAATTCGCCCAGTAGGGGTAGCATTTAGGGTTTCCCTTTCTCTTTTTCGATTTTTTGGGAAATTTTACTCTAAAAAAAGCAGAGTAAAAAAAGGAAATTGTTGTTAAGCTGGCAATCAAAATACAAACATATCCGGACTGAGAGGCCCTCAATGGGAGGCTATTGTTCTCCGTTTGATGACACACACCTGAGGAGAGTGTGTGCGAGTGTGCACACACCCCCCATGTGATGCCCGACTTGGGATTCAGACTCGGACTTTGATTCCGACTCTAATGCGGCATCCTGCTGACTCCCGGGTACTATGTGCATTTTGCAACAACTTAACCAATCCTTTATAATCCAATCCCTTCTCTCGTGCTGTAAACTGGTTATATGTACGCTTATTTTGGTATTGCCGCTTTGTTGCCTTAAATGGCATTTTCCAGATCAATGCATCAGCACAAAGCACTCCCCTGCCCATGCCCCATTCCAGCAATTGAAACTGCAACACCAATACACCCATTCCCATATCGAGAAATTTTTATTATTACTTGAAATTTCAATAATTAGTAGGCTGGCTCTAAGCTGTCATTTGTGTACAGGCACTAACTGGCTTTACTAATTTTGTCATTTACCGACAGAACCTTTCCGTAAAATCATCAAAACTTTCTACCAACCAAAAATAAAATAAAATAAATCTTCAGATTTAACTAGTTTAAATAAGTTTGTGAGTATTATCTGATTAAGAAAGAACACAGTGAGTATAATTACATGTAGATAATTATATTTCTTTCCTTAATAATTATAATTTCACATTGCAGAGAGGAAAAATCTTTTAAGTCTGTTATAAGATTTGCTGTTCAAGAACATTCAGCGCTCTACTGTTTAGTCAAAGGTAATATAAGAAATAAATGTACCACCCATACATGCAAACATACACAAGAAATCCTATAATCAAAATATACTTAAATAGTTGAACTACAGCGCAGTTCTTTCTGTATGTTTGAGCTGTTTCTATAGTTCTTGCCATAGCAGAGGTCAGCACTCAGTCACTCACGTGTTCCCGTGCGTTTGCGCACACACGCAACAAAAACAAGCAGACACGAAGTTACAAAAAGTTTCTCGCTTCTCTGCCGCTGCGGTAGCCGAGCACCGGCCATACGAAGTTGCTTCTCTGCCGCTTCGGATGCTCACTGCGCTTATGCCGAATCCACACGAAGCTTTCAAGCTGTGCGAGCGCTGACTGCGCTGGCCTCTGTTCTAATAACATTCATATACAAATCATATTGGTTTTTATGCCATTAGTTAAAGCTCAATTTCAGATCATTACAAATATATGTTAGACGCAAATATTAGGCGCATTATTCGTAACTTATTAGCCAAGTAAGTAATTTAGTGGCATTTTATTTTTTATACAAAAACATTTTCGCGTTTAGGTGCTGCAGCGGGCAAGCAAAGATGTCAGAGGAGGAGGCTATAAATGACATCGTCAGTGGCGACAGCCCAAAGCATAATGCAGTGCCCGACCATAACGAGACGGCAGCTACTCCACAGATAAACCCCGATGAGGAGTCCACATCCGGATCACTGCAACATTTAGGAAATGGCAGGAACGGCAGCAGCTCCAGTTCTGTTACTTGCGGAGAGGACGAGAATCCGGCCGACTATTGCATGGGTGGCTACCATCCATTGCACTTGGGCGACATCCTGAACCACCGCTATGTGGTGCTGAAGAAACTCGGCTGGGGTCACTTCTCCATCGTGTGGCTCTGCTTCGATATGACATCCAGGGTCTACTGTGCCGTAAAGGTGTGCAAGTCGGCGGAAAAATTTGCGGCGACGGCACTCGACGAGGTATCGCTGCTGAAGCGGGTGGCCAAGTACGAGTCGCATGCGCTGCGCAGCCGCCTGGTCTCGCTCACTGACAACTTCTTTGTGATCGGACCCAACGGGACGCACCACTGTCTGGTGTTCGAGATACTCGGACAGAATCTGCTCTGCCTGATCCAGCGCTCCAACTACCAGGGCATACCCAGCTACAATGTACGTCAGATTGCGCGCCAGGTGCTGGAGGGCCTGGCCTATCTGCACACCCAGTGCCACATCATTCACACGGACCTCAAGCCCGAGAATGTCATGCTCGAGCCGAACGAACTCAATGTGCGCAGCAAGGCCGCTGAGGCGGCCAACACCTATTTGGAGGCGCATGCCAAGTTGTCGCCGACCCGCAAGCTCCACGGCTGTGCCAGTCCGAGTGGCGACGCCGTGGAGTCCGACCAGGAGAAGAAGCTAACAAAAACGGCCAAGAAGCGGCGACGTGGACAAATCAAGCGCATTGTCAGCTTCTTCGAGTCTCATCGCCGCTGGCTACGTCAGCGTGCCGTCGAGGATCTGCTGCAACTCGCCAGTCGCAGTCTCCTCAGCCCATCCACCGCTGGCCTGGGTGTGACCGAGCAGCTGCCCTTCATGCCGTTCACCTTTGACGGGCTGACCATCCTCACAGAGTACGACATTTTCCATCTGGAGCGCTTCAAAAATCTAGAGCAAATAACAAACCCTCCCGCCTATGCCATGAAGTGCTTCCTGCTCGAGTGCGAATCCTTCGACAATAATCAACCAATCGACACTAAGTCGTTGAAGAAACGCTCGAGCAGCGACATCATGTTGCCAAGTGACGAAATTGCTGCCATGAAGAGTAGTCTGGCCAGAGGATCCGAAATGCTGAAGTTACTCCACAGCAGCCCGGAGAACTTCATGCGCGCTGTCCAGGAGAAGGTGCAGGAGTGCGATCGGGCGGCTGAAGCTGCCCAGCCAAAGGTGTGGCCCAAAATAAATCGCAAGTGGAAGATTGGAGATGCTCGAAAGAAAGTCATTGGGGAAAGTCCAACTGTGAATTTGCCCGACCGTAATATAGTCTTGCGCCCTGATCCGGCGCTATTTCCGTGTGAGTTGAACACGAAACTCGCGGACATGGGCAATGCCTGCCGGTTCGATAAACACTACACGGACAACATACAGACCCGGGAGTACCGGGCAGTGGAAGTCATCCTTAGGGCTGGCTACAACGAATCGGCCGACATCTGGAGCGCCGCCTGCATGTTCTGGGAGCTGGCGACCGGCGATTACCTGTTTGAGCTAGGCAAGAAGACTGGCACGATCAGCTGCGATGATATGCACATCGCCAGCATCATTGAGACGTGCGGTCCCATTCCCCAGTATCTCATTTACGATGGCGAGAACGCGCAGAAAATTTTCAAGCCGAATGGGGAGCTGATCCACATAAAGGAGCTGAATAAGCGCAACCTGGTCTCCGTCCTCATCGAAACTTACAACTGGAGCGAGAGCGAGGCCTTTGAGTTTGTGGCATTCTTGAAGCCCATGCTGGACCCTGACCCACGTAGTCGCGTTTCGGCCACCTCGGCATTGACCAGCAACTGGCTGGTCCTTAACTATTGTTAATTTATCATTTCGATTGTTAATAATTCAAATTAAATATAGTGCGCCAACAATACAGGTTGGGTGCTTAACAACACTGGCTCGGCTAATCGATAACATTCTCAACGCATTAGTGCTTGCACGCAAAGTGTGACCGTCTTGCTCAAATCGCGCGCAGACTTTGTGTGTGTTTCCAATGGTAAAGATTGTTTTGCTTATTAGCGAGTATTAAAAATTCAAATAGTCTAATTATTTGTTCTAGTGCATAGATTCAAGTTCGCTTCGGTTATATTATCATCAAAATACGTTGGCATCCCAGTGAACAACAGTAGCCGTGACAAGTATCGAGTGTGCAGTAAGTGCAAGCTTTGTTTTGATTTGTTATATAAAGCGTGCATAAAATGATGGAACAATGTTGATAACGGCTGATAAACGCAGAGACACATACACACACACAAGCCTCACAACTAGTACAAAACTAATGCGGAAGCAATTCAAATAACCAACACAAGCACCAACCTCTTCCTCCTACACGCACCTTGGATTGCCATTCAAGGTTGGCTGCCTAGAGATGAGCGACCACTTGTCACGGTTACTGTTACTTATTCCCTAGTGTCACTTACATGAATCAGAATCAGCAGCAACAAAAATAAGCTTTGAATCGCAACAACTAATAAGCTATTTTTATTTGTTCTGGCCATCGAAAACATCAGCCATAAATCACAGCCGATTAAATCGCTACAGCTATTACATAAATCCACACAAAACGCATTTGGGTTGCGGTCACAGCTGGGGGAAGCAGTCACAACTCATCTCTATTGCATGTGCATGTGACAGCATCGCGCGCCAAATTCAAAATGTCAGCAACTGAACTATACGACGTCACTGCAATGGCAACGCTTAGGCGCTTATCTCTCTTTGCCAGACGAGATAGTGTCACCCACTTTAGATTTCCATCGAATCGACGTTTGGAGCGCTGCGGATGGTTGCCGGCTGGTGTTTTGACTCGTTCCCCCCGTTCTCTCTTGCCTTTCTCACGCAGCATGCCCAGCGCTTCGTTTTATATCTCGTAATCTCTGGAAATTGTGAAAAGTTTGAGGGAAGCTGCTGCTAACTGTGCCGTCCGTCGCTATTGCGCAACCACTTAATGTTGTCTACAGCCATATTGGGCCACAGAACACGTTTACCCTTGCAAGCGTTCAATTCATGGCGAAGGCGCCTGCGGACTAACAGAAGCACCTCCGTTCCAGCATTTACCCAGCACCACAGCGAACAGGCAACCCAACAGCACTCGCTGCCATTTACGCGTGCGCTTCACTCGTAAGTCGACCCCGAGACAAAAGTTTTAGATCATTTCATTCCAATATATTTACATCTTTGAAGACAGAAGGCCATGGACTCTCCGCCGGATGTATTTATTGGTCTAAAGGATCGCTTCGAGGGCGTCACAGTGGATGGCCGAGAGGAGAAGGTCGACAAGTCGAAGTTTGAGGAAAAGCTAAGAAGTAAGTGAAAGCTGGAATCAAGTTAGAAACTGAAACCCAACCCCCATCCATCCACAGAATCATTGGAGTGGTGGACAAGCAACAAGAATCGTGCCATTTGGTTTCGTGTGTACAAGGAGCAGGCGGATTGGGTGCCCATTTTGGCAGCGTCCGGCTTTGATTTCCATCACGCCCGCACCGGCATGGTGGTCATGTACCGCTGGCTGCCCACGCACGAGTCCAGCAACCTACCCAACTACGCCCACACCCTGCTGGGCGTCGGGGGGTTGGTGATCAACGACAAGGACGAGGTTCTGGTGGTCTCCGATCGCTATGCAATGATACCCAACAGCTGGAAGCTGCCAGGAGGCTATGTGGAGCCGCGCGAGAATCTCATCGATGCGGCCATACGCGAGGTGGAGGAGGAGACTGGGATCAGAACCACGTTCCGTTCGGTGGTGTGCCTGCGGCATGCTCACGGCGGTATCTTTGGCTGCTCGGATATCTACATGGTGATTGCCCTGAAGCCGATCAATTTAGACTTTACGCGCTGCGAGCGCGAGATTGCCCGCCTTCAATGGATGCCCATCGCAGAGTATCTGCAGCATCCGCAGGTGCACGAGACAAATCGCCAGTTTGTGCACACATTCCTCGACTATCAGAAGCGCGGCCTGGTCCTCACCTGCCGCAATCAGGTGCACCAAGTGCTCAAGAGGGAATACAATCTGTACTTTGTGGACGGAGATACGCAGGCAGTCGATGATGGGCTAAAGCTATGAACGGCAATGGTTTTAATGATTGTGGAAGCCGCTTCCAAATGGCAGCAAATGTTTTTAGGCGAATTGCACACAAATTTAGTTAAATAGAAAATACATTTTTGTAACGTACTTTTGTATTGTTAAATGTGCCAAATGAAGGGCCAGCAGCCACTGGCCAAACTGAGACACACTGACAATCTTGGGGGCAGGGACTACCCTGCCACATGGGGTAGGCAGCGCAGGTGAATTCTTGAGCAAGATGATTCGTTTCGTAAATATATATGCTTTATAACAGTCTCTGAACAATTTGCATGCCCTTACAACCTGGGTAAGGGTACACACAGAGCATCGCATTAAAATTAACAAATAAAAGTTGGCAGAAGGGGAAGGAACAGCTACAGTTCGCCACAGGCGTCGGCCAGCGGCCAAACACGGTAGACCACACGGCTGCGAATGAGGCCAACGGGAATGGGGCCATAGTAGCGGGAGTCACAGCTATTTTCCTTGTTGTCGCCCTCTATCCAAATGTGGCCGCGCGGCACGTAACTCTTGATCATGACAGGTTGCTTCTTTTTAGCAGACGGACTGCATTCCGCTTCGAGCGGCTGGGGCTTGGCTATGAACACCTCTTCGCCGGAGACGGCCACCACACGCTTGCAGACACACTGCTTGGCATTGGTCGGCGAGACGGCAATGACAATGTCGCCGGGCTTATAGCTGCGCCAGTACTTGGTCAGGCGTTCGGTGACCAGCACATTGTCCGTGTAGAGAGTCGGCTCCATCGATGGTCCTTTGCACTGAACGAACGAATAAGGTATGCGATTGGGTATTAGCATTGGGGCCAGATAGGAGCAGCCTTGGACGTTTAACACTCACCAGCACAAAGTCGCCAATATACTCAAAGGTGCAGTGCGTTATGGCAGCATAGGCCACTGAATAGCGCACTATGGTGGACAGGCGCTTCCAGTTTATTATCATTTCGAGCCGCAGTCGTCCTCGACCGTCCAGTCCAATAACGTATTAGCACCGGCCAAATGGTGCTTATTTTCCTTTTCTTGGCCCGATAAAAATATAAACAATTAAATCAGTGTGACCGCGGGATTATCGATCAAATATACTGACAGACCTTCGGAAATATACCGAATTATAGATGGAACTCTTTTTAGTGGCTAAAATATCCCCAAAAGTAGAATATACTCTAAATGCTCACCCTGAATTAAATGTTATTAAACGACTACCAATGCCAGCAGGGGTGCGACGCTGAGCAGTTGGGCGCGCAATTCAAATACTCCAAAAGTGAGCGCTCTTGTGTGTTTCCTTATTTATGTGCAAACAAAGAAATAATTGATCGGTGTGTTGACAGTTAAAGCTATCTATTTGTATGCCTATTTTTTCCATGATATTTAACAAGGTGGCAATAATGGATCACCATACGTTGGTTCTCTTGTATCTGCTATTGAGAGGAAAAACAATTGGAATGGTCACGATAATGGTTATATATATATATATATTTCATGCAGGTCTCCAATTACAATTTTTTACTTATGATTAGAAATACATTAGTTACATTGAGATTTGAACAATCGTTGGAAGTGTGTCTGTAATCTGTAATGTCTGTACTTGAACCAATATTAAAAATAAAGAAAAATGTACAAAATGAGACGTACGAATATATGTACTTCTGGAAGTACTCGCCATATACATAGACATATATGTATAAACAATTCGCATAAATGGACATTCAATCGATCATATTTAATCGTAAAATATGTGTGTACATTAGTTAGTGTTAGCTTCACACTCACGACACATCAAAATGTAAAATAATCATTGATTACTAAAAAGAGGAAGCAAAAATAAATATGCAACAGCTACGACTATATACGACAATTGTTGTTCGCGCGCATGGAACGAGAATTTTTTTCACTTTCAATTTCCATTCCATTCTAAATTATTTAAATACAAATCGCTGGCTACGGCTACGGGTACGACCCCGACACCGCCCCACGTCGTAAAACTAAAAAATACAAAATAAAATCAACAATATTGCAATAGCGCGTACAAATAATTAATACATCTACTAAACTTTTCTTGGATTTTTTTTTAATGTTTGTTTGTTTGTTTTGTTTTTTTTTTCTTCTGTTTCTGTTTCTAGCCTTCTCTGCTCTGCTCTTCACTTCATATCTCATATCGCATTGCATCTGTTCCTTCTTGTTTTTTGTTTTGTTTTGTTTTGTTTTTACTGGAATCAAGAGTTAGTTTGCTTTAGTACTTTAGTTAGTTGGAAAGCTGTTCGTTTTCAATGGATTTTGACTAGTTGCCGCCCTACTCCAACTTCTTGCCAGCCACTGGCACTGGCTCGTTGGGCTTCTGGCGCTTCTCCTGCCGCTCACGTACATCCACCGCAGCCAAATCAATGCCAGCCACATAGGCGTGCATTACGGAGATCAAGGCCTTCAGCACGGCAAAGGGGCCGGTGAGGAAGGCCAGTATTTTGAAGAGCGACGCGCCGAATACTATCACAGTTCAAGAGAAAGTTCAAGTTTTAGTATAAATAAATGAATCAATTGCAGTGTCCAGTGTCCAATATACACAATTATGCATCAGAATACTCACTGAGGGGACCGTAGGTGAAATGCAAGAGGTACAAGCACACATAGAACAGCTCATTGACGCAGCACATAAAGGTCAAAATATCCTTTTGATAGTACAAACGCATCACAAAGTTCTCATTGACCTTGTGCGATGCGCGTCCAACCACAACGCTCCTACGCAGAAACAAAATAAACACAATGCAGATTACAGATTGCAGATTGCAGATTGATGGACTTACGTTTGCATAAAGAGCCAGTGGCAGGCGACATCGATGGCAATGGATAGCTGGAACCAGAACATGTAGCGTGGATAAAAGTAGGCCAGGGTAACCAGCAGGCCCGTGGTGCCGCATCTATCAGTGAGCTGGTCCAGCATGGCCCCAAAGCGTGTGCCTGGAACGGACCCAAACACAGGTTAAGAAGGTTTTTATTCAGGCGAATCGGTGCTTGAAGGTTTGGGCGTTGGCCCTGACGTGGTTCCCTTCTACAAGCGCGACCATATTAAGTATTGGCGGGCGATAAAACAAATATAAGATACTGCCGCAACTACTTATAGATACGATTCGGTTTGTTTTGTATATGGTTGTGTTGTCGCTAGGGGAGGGAGTTGGCATTCGTATGGGCAAAGTGCGCATATCATTAAATAGCCAAATAATTCAGTTTGCCGGCTCATCGGCTAGCGTCATTGTGTGAACAGGTGTGTGCGATGTGGCCTGACTATGGTGCGATGTGTTTGTTGCCCCGATAGCCGTTCGATTTGGTTATGCTCACTTTGATTGAAGGCCCGGGCGGCGTGTCCATCGACGGCATCCAGAAGGGCGCTGGTTACATAACACCAGCCGGAGATCACATAGTTCGTGGACATGAACCAGAACGCAATCAAGGCCAAAATGATGCGTGCATAGCCTGAAAGACGAATGAAAACAAACAAACAATCATCAGCGGTTCAATCGATAAGGGAAGTGTTATTTATGTGGGGCTGACGCTGACGCTGTTGTTGTTTCATGTAGCTGGGCTGTTCGCATGCACTGGTATTGTGCATTATTACAAGCGCACGGCTAATTGAATTAGGGACGAGCCCCACGGAGCACCCGCCCCCCTTCAACAACTGCCACCGCAGCTCCGTCGGCAGTAACAATCACACGGGTTCAGGTATGTATACATTCCATAATTCCAGAGACAGATTCGAGCGATTCGCGCCACTAGTACTTACCAATTAAATTTGGCACAAAGATGAAGACGTTGTCATGCTCGGCAATGGCCATTGTGGCTGGGCGCTTGAAAAGTTCTGTTCGCTTCCGTCTGAGATTGAGATTGAGATTCGAGTTTTTTGTTTGTTAAATGCGTAGCGAGTGAGGTGGTTAGTGTTGTAGGATTTTCAACGGGGGGCTGCCAGATGGCCCGCACCTGCGCAACACGGCAGCACTGCCAACCTGGCGGCACACACTCGCGGATAACGTACATGCGGACATTATTTTGTGATAAAATAAAGCTAAATTAAACAGCAGTTGGTACCAAAGTGGGAAAAAACAAAAGAAATTAGTGATACTTTTTTCCTAATACACCCATACTCAAAGAAGTGTTCGCTCGCTGTCTGTCCCTTTATCTCACCTTCTTGTTCTTATAATTCTCAACTTCAGGCTAAAAGCTGTTATTTATATTCTTTCTGCTAATATATTTTGAAAATAGCTAGATTTGACGGGAAAAAGCTGGCTTCACACCACTGCAATTATGTTGAATCACACACATAGCTGCATTTTCCAGAACTGGCACCACCAGCCGTGGAAACTGTTTTGGTTACAAAGAAATAATGCACAATTAATCGGGTTTTATTGTAGTCCGCCATTGCCAAGGCCAAGGGCACCGCCACCGCCACCCCGGCCACTGGCGCAGCATGGACAAGCTACGCAGCGGCAGTGCTGGCACCCACCAACGCACCTCCTCCCCGGGACAAGGCCCACTGGCTGAGCAACACCATGTCGAGCAGTATCCCAAGAACCTGATCGAGCAATATCTGCGTGCCTCCAACAAAATCAAAAAGTTTGAGCGTGCCGGCTTTTTCAAGTGAGTTCTTTCCCCCAACTAGATACCACTCTGACTCAATTAATGGCCATTTAGACGCTTTGCGCCCAGTGTGAACGATGTGCAGGCGGACTTCCAGAGGCTGGCGTACAGCTTCGAGGAGTCGGGCATCATGCAGTACGCGGCCATGTGCCACGTTGGCTATGCCAAGTGCGAGTCCTTTGGGGGGGCGCCGCAGCGCGAGTCTGAGGCGTATGTGAGGGCCGCCCGTGCCTTCCTGCAGGCCCACAACGAGTTCGGGCTCCTCCACATGCGCACCCAGCACAGCGGCTTCCGGGAGGGTGCCCTGCACTGCTACCACAAGGCAGCGGAGCGCGTTGTGGACGGCTGCGTCTTCAAGGCTGCCATTCTCCGCGAGCTGCAGCAGCTGCAGCGACAGTTGGACCGCACCAGCAGCTTCGCCTCGCCCACCCACCAGATCCACGACCTGGAAATGAGCGCTGACCTGAGCACACAGCGTGAGGACTACCGCAGTGCCCTCCAACACTACGACGACATCGTTGACAACATATACGAGCGCCGGGGTGCACTGATGTACACCGATCTGCTCAGGCGCGTGGAGGTCCTGCGTCTACTGCTGCTGGTCCACCTGAATCTGCCGCCTGCCCGGCAATCGCCCGCCCACATCAAGCTCATCGAGCACTACTACAGCCTCGCCCAGTTCGAGGCGAGCCCCTGTCCGGGCTACAACAGTGAGCTGGTAGAGCGGCCCGGCGCCTTTTTGCCCCAGCAGCAGCAGTACGCATTGGCCGAGATCATCTGTGCCTGGGTTGAGCGCAAAATGTGCTATCTCAAGCATCTACTCCGTGACTTTGCAGCCGAATTTAGTTCGGCAAGCACTGCCGAGCGCCAGCTGGTTAAACTCATCTACGCGGACCTCTCCACAGTGTACTAGCCGCGAGCAAGCACGGCTCGCCACGGCATTGTGCGAGTATCATGGATTGTAGCAAATGGTATATGATACGGATACACACACATCCATATATATGATTATTTTATTACGATTATTGATTAGCATTAGCACACGTAACCAGTATCGTTTAAGTGTAACCAAGTCTACCATTCAACCTTTGAACGTGCCTACACTCGTACACGCAAGAAACGAGAAAACGAATGAACCACATAAATCAGAAAGCAGGAAGCAGCAGCAGGTAAGAGGGAGCCAGCCCGTCGGCTCACCGAAGTCTATATATGTATGTACCCTTGCAGTTGGACGTTGATTATTGTTAGTTCGGTTCTGTTCTGTTCTGTCTGCTGTTGATCACTTGATTATAACATAACTTCGACCGCTCTTTTCCTATGGCAGCTGTGTGATATAGTCATTCGATTTGTTTCCCTTTTTGGAGATAAATATTTAATTGCAATATTTACAAAAATATACCCTAAGATATCTTCTCAACAAGTTAAAATTATTACAGAGAGACACACTCCTGTAGATTCTGTGAAATTTATCATGAAAACTCTGAACACAATCTATGTGAATGCACTGCACTCTATAGAAGGATATTTAGACAGTTCCCCCTTCCAAGATTTGGGCAATAGAACCCACTAAAGTGCTTCAACTCATTGAACCCTTAGAAACATAAAGGGATCTTCCAAATACTCCTACTGGCCAGTACAAAAAGGCTTTTTAATAATAGTATTGTTTGCTAATGTAGTGCAGCGATCTATTACATTCCAACAACATATATAATCCAGATCTATCAGAAACGAAGACCATAAAGAGAATGCCTAAAGCAGAGTGATGTGGAAAGCAGATGTTCATAGGAAAAGGCTCCCTAAAATCTTTAAATATTCTCTCGGAGTTGCTTCCTCACATTTGCAAAACTGCAAGGGTATATTATGAAAAACTTGCAGCAATAAAGGGAATCATATATGATACATAAATGCGCTAACAAATGTTAAATCATCTAAAAGCACACAGATTTGAAAATTGTACAATAAAGCAAAGCAAATGGAGATTACCTCAAACAACATTCGACTTTCGGTTCATTTTTTTTTTGTTTTGGGTTAGAACTCGAAGAATTCATAGAGATAAAAGTGGTGAAAGGAAGGACGCATTGAAACCAGTGAAGCCACCGAAGAAAAATGCCCTCCGTGGCAATATATGTATGGTTCTGGAAACATCAAGGAACACTTTCTGGATTGCTATACATCTGAAATCCACACTTTCAGAGGTGCCCTTCTTACATGAGTAAATGAATCGGTAATCGGTTGGTTTTTTGGTCAAAGATTTTGTTTATTACCTTGTCTGAAGCAACTGTTTTGCTGTTTCACATTCGGAGCTGATGATGATTGATTTGACATAACCTTTAACCTATACAATTAGCTGCTTTTTCCATAAAATCATTCATCGTTTGTCTAGCATTAGGCATAGATTGCTGTTGCTTTTGTTGTATGTGGGATACGTGTATGTACGTGTGTATTTGTATATATTTATATCTTTGTGGCATACTCATATATATAAAAACTCTTCCAATTTGTTAAATAACCTATAAATAATATCTGTGTTCTGAACTGTTCTTTCTTTTCTTCTTCCTGTTGTAATTTGTTTTAATATATTTAGTTTATTATTTTTGTATTTTAATACTCGAACGCCTCGAATACTCCTCTCTCTCTCTCTTCCATCGAACGTCAAGAATTCATTCGAATTCCCCAAGCAAATCGTATATTGAATATTTTGAAATTTCTAAGCATCGGCTGAACCGCTGCAGGCAGTATCATCTCGGTATGGTTTTCATTATATTTCTTTTGTTTCTCTTTACACACATTTTGGTTGTTGGTTTTTGTTTTGTCACTCTCTGGCTTCTTAATCAAAACTTTAATTACATATATTTAGTAGTATATTTTGTTGTTGTATCTATTAACTTTATTTTTAACTTGATCTTGTTTTTTTTTTCATTTATCTGATCCGTGGTGTATATATCGTATCTATCATGTATGTATATATATACTCGTATCATTAAGGCGTAAATAAATTACAAAAAAATCATATTTATTATATATATATAAATATATATTGAAACCTAGCGGAGAATTAAACGAAATTACGAATAAGCGCAAGATCACAAGCAGTTTTTGTAGTTATTCTTTTTTTCTTGTTTAGTTAATGTTTTTGTTTTGTTTTGTTTGTTCCTCTCCAACGACTACTCCACATATTATGAATGATTGATAGTATGTTTATATACGATATATATATAAATATTTATACATTTGTAATGTTTATTTTAAATTTAATTCGACACATAAAAAGAAAAAATTCAGCTAAAAATTTGTGTATTTTCTTGTTGAGGGTCGGACTCTTTCTTGCCTGTGTGTGCCGCATTATATAGGGGAGTTCTTCCTATGCAGTTTCTGTATATGGTTGGGCTGTCTGTTTACATGACTTGACTATAGCGTAGTGTAAACTCAAATCGTAATTTTGCAGGGGGATAATCGTAGGAGGGGGATGCGGCGCAGCAATCCCTTTGAGATTGTCATCGAATGGGTTTGAAGAGCGAAGGAGGAGGAGCGTTTGCCTGAATGTCCGTATGGTGTGTGTATTCTTTTTTTTTTGTATGTAACTAATGTGTGTGGTTTTCTTTTTGTGTAGCTTCTCTCTACTTTGCCGCCTTGGCCTTCTTCTCGTTCTCTGAGGTGATCTTGTTCTTCAAATGATCCTTGTAGTCGAGAATGCCGCCCTTCCACTTGGTCACCGTCTCCTTTTCGCACACCCAAATCTCCTCAGCCACCTAGAAAATGCAATTAGCCAATCAATCATTGCCACAAGCATGCATTTGTATCCTGATTAAATCTCTTACCTGATTGATCAAACGGAAATCGTGACTAACTAGCACCATGCCGCCATCAAAGTCATTAATGGCATCGGCTAGGGCATCGATTGTTTCCATGTCCAAATGATTGGTCGGCTCGTCCAGCAGCAGAAGGTGGGGCACCTGCCAGGCGAGCCAGGCGAAGACCACACGACAACGCTGTCCATCCGACAGCTGGCGAATGGGGCAGACCTGCTGGCGACCAGTCAGGCCATAGCGGCCGATAATCTTGCGCATCTCCTCCTTCTCCTTGACATCGGGAAAGGCGTGCATCATATACTCCAGCGGACTGACATCGAGATCGAGAAGCTCGTGCAGATGCTGGTGGTAGCGAGCGATGCGCAGATGTGAGTTCTTGCGGATCATGCCAGAGGTGGGCACCAGATCCCCATAAAGCAGCTTCAGCAGCGTCGACTTGCCGGCTCCGTTGGGCCCCACCAAAGCAAGACGTGTGTCCAAATCGATGCCAAACTCCAGATTCTTATAGATCCAAGGCGTTTCATCGTTGTACCGGAAATTCACATTCTACAAAAGTGGGGGACACGTGAGTGATCAGAGAGATGTGTGGGTGTGAAGGATTAATGGATGTATGCGCTTACCTGCACCATGATCACAGGTGGGGGCACCTTGCCGCACGAGGGGAAATAGAAATTGAGCACCTTGTCGTCGGAGACCTTTTCGGTTAGGCCCTGGGCGACCATTTTGGCGAGGGTCTTCTCCTTGGACTGCGCCTGTCGCGCCAACTTGGCGGAGCCGTGACCGAATCTGGCAATGTAGTTCTTCATGTGCGATATCTGATCCTGCTCCCAGTTGTACTGCTTCATCTGGTTCTCTAGCAGCTCCATGCGTGTGCGCACAAAAGCCTCGTAGTTGCCGGTGTAGTATTTGAGGCGCTTGGCTGTCAAGTGTACGATGTTGGTGCAGACGCCGTTGAGGAAGTCCTGAGAGTGCGAGATGAGCACCAGGATGCGTTTGTATGTTTTCAACTCCTCCTCCAGCCACACGCAGGCGTCCAGATCCAAGTGATTGGTCGGCTCATCGAGCAAAAGCAGATGCGGTTTCACGAACAGGGCACGGGCCAGGGCGATGCGCATACGCCAGCCACCAGAGAAGTCCTTGGCCTGTTTCTGTTGCATAGCCTTGTCAAAGCCAAGACCGTGCAGGATGCGGGCGGCCTTTACCTCTGCCAGGTCGGCGGACATGTCATCGAGACGCTCATAGATATCAATAAGCTGCTCCTGGGCATCATCCTCCTCGCTCATGGCCAGCTCCTCGGCAAGCTTCTCGAGCTTGATGCGCTCCTCGTCCACCTCCATGACGCACTGAAGGGCACTCTTCGAGCTGGCGGGTATCTCGCGCGTCAAGTGGAAAATGTCAATGTGCGGTGGAATGGGCACTTCGCGACCGCCCAGCACGGCCAGCAGCGAGGACTTGCCGCAGCCATTGAGACCAATCAGGCCGTAGCGACGTCCGCAGTTCAACTCCAGCATGGTGTCCTGCAGCAACTCGGAGCCAAAGAACGTGATCGAAAAGTTGGCGATCTTTACATCACGCGAGCGAGGATGCACAGCCAGGGAGCCGGTGCAGGAGCGGGCCTCGGCACTAATGCGAGCCTCCTCCTCCAGCTTGGCGCACAGCTTCTCCTCCTCCGTCAGTTCGCGCTCCGGCTGGCCGTTGGCCTTCTTAGTGGAGGGAATCTGTTGGATCTTCTTGTTGCGGGCATCCTTCTTGCGCTGCGCATCGCGTTTCTTTGAGTCGGAAGGCATTCTTTTAGCTGCTAAACACACACAAACATATATATATTAAACTTTTACACTTTATTTTTACTTTTGTTGTCGAGTATTTTCTACTTCAATCTAATATCTCATCTATAATCTTTCGAGGCCAAAGTTTTGCTTTATACTGACTCCGAAATTATGCTGAGATTTCAACAAAATCAGGGTCTACTGCATGCAACAAAAAATAAGGACTTTTCTTTGCTTGAATGGCTGTCAGTATTGAAGCGCTTGTTACGACAAGGTCATGTAACGGTGCACAGCAGGGTTGCCAGCTGCCCTGGGTAATCAGGGTCACCTGCGTGTGCATGTGCAGCACGCTTTCAGGCGTCCCACAGACGCTAAACATGCAGATGTGATCCCCTCATCCACCACCCACCTGCACCTGAGCAGAGCAGCGCACCGCAACGAACAACTGTTTTAAGAAATGTTTGGTTTGGTCTCAATTTTAAATTTAGACAGCGTCAGCAAAAACGGAAAAATTTCCACTGTGCCTTCGGCGTGTGCTTGCGGGTTTCACTGTTGCTGAGCGGACTACTTCGTGTTTCGCGTTGTGTCAGTCTTGCCACCCCGCGCGCTTCACGATGATTCACAGTTCACAGTTAGCCAGGAATTCCGTTGCAGCAACGGTCGGTCGGTGAAAGGGGAAATCAAAAAGAAAAGGTGCAAAAAAATTTCAGCACTCGTGTACGAACACACGCTAGTCAACACTAGTGTCGATCCACCACCTTGCCCCTGTAGCGCACATACAAGGCAATGGCAACGCACACTTGACTGATGTTACACCACTTACATACACGCACGGCGAACGAGAACAGACACAGGGGAAGAAAAATGCATGTGTGGGATGCGCAAATTATTGAATTTCCCACAGCTTTGGCTGTGCAGTTACTTACCTTTTGATTTTTAATAAATAATAGAGGTGTCACGAACAGGAACGGATCGAAGTCTTAATACGGGTTCGCAAATTATCGGCTGTCTTGCCTCGGACTGGTGCTGGGCCGCTTAAAGGGGGAACGGAACACACACACACGCATTTACACGTGTTTCGTAGGGAGTGTGACCGCGGATTTGTCGATAGAATATACCGTCTGACCCTCAAAAAGATCTTGGAAAAAGCGTATTTTTCTCAAAACATGCTTCCACTTTGAAATTGCTGGTCACCCTGTTTGCTGGCTGCAAAACCATCGATGGTCTCAGAATTGTATAGTGCGATATATCGACTGCTCTGTTCGACCATCCAAATTTCGTTAAAAAGAAAAAAAAAAAAAGGATTTTGAAGTTTAGATAAGTAAGCCCCTAACGACAAAACAATAGAAATAATATGTGTTAAACGCAAGTTACCAGTATACCCATAGCTGTATAAAACACACAAAAAATAGTAGACATGTCGAAATTTGGCTACGGAAACCTTGCAATGCTCAAGTTCTTGGAGGCTTACAAGGAGCAGCCTTTGTTGTACGACCCCACAGTGGATAACTACAGGAACCGTATGGCCCGCGAGAAGGCCTACGCTGCAATGATCGAAAAATTCAATTTTCCAAATATTTTGATCGAAGATGTCAAGCGGAAGATCAAGATCATTCGCACCGTCTACACCAAGGAGTTGGGTATTCGCAGGTGCTTCGAGGAGATGGGCAAGCCCTACGAAACGAAGCTAAAGTGGTTCAGTATGGCAGACACCTTTCTAAGAAAGGTATCAAATTCCCATCCCAAAAACGTGAGTACCCGCCCTAGGGTTCGGGCCAAAAATGGCGATGCCCTCTCTTACATATGTGTATAACACACATTCGCAGCGCAAGGAAACGTCAGTAAAGAACTTACCAGCACTCTTCGACTCCACTACGGACATTAGTACGAGCGAGGATGCCATAGAACAGGATGACAGCTTTGTAGAATCCATTGAGCAAATACCTGTGTCGTCGTCCACTCTCAATGCCTTCCGCACACAGAAGACTTCCAAGCCAATTTCCAGCGCACGACCATTGTCATTCGAGCTTACTATTGATAATTCCATTACAGTGGATAACTCCAAGGAGGAGGAGGACCTCTCGAGCCAAAGCCCACCCACTTTCAGACCTTCAGGAGCTGAACTATCCCGCACCGTTCAGTCGGATTCGGAACGGCAGGACGATCCATCAGCACCAGCAGCACTACAACCACTAGCACCACCACCACCACCATCTGCAGTGTCAGGGGCAATTTTCGCTTCGCATCCCGATGATGATTTTACGCACTTTGCCCTAGGCATTGCTTCGCAGCTGCGGAAGATACCCAATCCGGCCGCCGTCGCATGGGCCAAGGTGCGCATGCAGCAAGTTGTCTACTCCGCCGAGACCGGAGCCATGGACCCAAATTTCGTAGCTCCGGTCTAGATTACAGACTTGCAGGATTTTATTGTTAGTAAATTTTGTCTTATATTATAATTTAGTTTTATCCAAATACTCCTTATGTTGGATGTCACTTAAGGTAGCATATCCACCCCATATAGAATATGAATAGAATATGTAGATATATATTCCTGATCTGCATGAAACATTCAGAATTTGATCTCTATCTCAAGTCATTCGAACTGCAATTTCACAAAGGGGCTCAGACAGATAATTAATTCATTTAATCAGGATTTTTATGGTTTACCGGATAAGTAGCCATTTTAGGATATTTTTTAATGAATCATCAATTTCATCATTTTGTGTTTGGTATATTACGGTACATTCTGGAAGTCAATCGGTATATTTTATCGATAAGTCCGCGGTCACACTGCAGAGTCCGAGTGCGTGCTTCATTTGCAATAAAAATAAAAAAATATTTAGAAAATAGCCATGGATGACGAAGCTGAAACATATAAGCTGTGGCGCATTCGCAAGACAATCATGCAACTAAGTCACGATCGAGGGTATTTGGTGACGCAGGACGAATTGGACCAGACGCTGGAGCAGTTCAAAGACATGTTTGGTGACAAGCCAAGCGAAAAAAGGCCGGCCAGGTCCGATCTCATCGTACTGGTGGCCCACAACGATGATCCCACTGATCAGATGTTTGTGTTCTTCCCGGAGGAGCCGAAGATCGGCATCAAG